AAATACATAAGCTCTTGAAGATTAATGATACAATTATTTTAAACTTTATTACAAATAACTATTAGTAAATATATACAGCAAAGTTGTTATTAATTCTTTTATCGTAGTTTGAAAGTCATCAAGACGAAGCTTTGATCGATTTCCCAATATGACGGTTCTGAACGCCTATTTAAAAAACATTTATATTTTTGTTATCAATAGTATTACATGTAATGTAGCATTATTACTCCATAGGCCATAGAGTAGGAGTTATTTTTTCAAAAAAGAACAAGAAATCATACATCAATAGTTTATTTTTAATTTTGATTTCTCACCACAGTATTAGGTGCAGTACTTTATACCACGTGTGTTTATTACTGGGGACAGGTGACTGCGTAACCTAACCTATTTTCGACCGCATTTACTCGCTTAAAAAATAAAGCTACAGAATTAATGTTGTTGAAAACAAAATCAGAATAAACAAATTTTGAATTTCTTTTAAAAAGTTTATTATTTATTTTTATTATTACTGTTCATATTGTAATAAGGCTTAATATAATACTATAAATATATAATAAATGAATACTTTCTGTTTTCTATAATAAAAAAAAAGGTAAAAATAAGTAAAAAAAAACTGTACAAATAAAGTTAAATAATTGTTCTATTTACAAAATATAGGTAGGTATTTATACTAATATTTTGCTTAACACAAGCCTGCAGTAATATACGCGCAGTAATCGGTATTTCGTTAGTAACTGGCACATACTATCTATGTACTTACACAGTAATGCATGCATGTCCGCCCGCAGTAATTCCTGCAATGAGATGTGGCATTAATTTCTTTGATTTCTATTATGTCCGTCTAATAAGTACCCCGTTCTCAATTTTTTTATAGAATTAATATCATCAAACGTTCCTAAAAACAAGAAAGAGGGACTTTCATTAATGTGAATGCTTTATTGAGCACTTTAAAGTTAACCTATCCTAAAAGCCTGCAGTAATACCTACACTTACCCTATGCATGAATCAAATAATGTGAATAAGTCATTTGGAAATTTAATAAAATACAATTTAAAATATAAAACTAAGATGTTTAGTTTTTTATATGCTTTTTATATATTCATAATTTAAATATGTTTAACATTATTAGTGGACTTTTGATTTTAATCTATGAATGTTACTTATTTTTTATTAGTTTAGTCTGTCTTTTGGATCATGTACTTTCAAAATATGTTGAAAATTTTCACAAAAAAGAATTTAAATACTTCAAAGTGAACTTAATGCAGTCTAATAATAATTGCTAAAAAATTTTATTTTTATTTGGAATAACATCATCTTTGAGTATACGAAGTAGTTCCTTGTTTATAATAGTGATAAGAATTGGAAACAAGCTACTTGTCATTTTCAAAGGTATACGAACTTAACTCGAAAGGCTGGTAATTAAGTACTTCATTCAGGTGTGGAAGTATGATAAGCTATTTGTATAATTTGAAGCTTTGATATGTATGATTATCATGACTGATAATGTATTATGTATCATAAAGAATATAACTACAAAAATAAAAATTAACTATACATTGGAAAGAATATTTCTTGTATTATAAATTCAGAAATATTTTGATGTACATGATATTCCCATAATAAATAGTTCTGGAAAGTGTGTTGGAATTTGTTCAATTTATTACAGATTTTTGGCTGGGATTCATAGTCACTACTTATTCTTAAGCAAATGCTTAAGTTCCCAGTTATGAATGTATATGTGTACATGTATGGACTACACATTTATAACTGGGGACTTAAGCATTTGCTTAAGAATAAGCAACGACTATGAATCCTGCCCTTTGACTTCTAAACTACTGTACTTAATTACAGTCCAACGTCACATCTACATTATACAATTGCGTACGTGTTCATGTTGATGATCATTTTATTCTCATACTGCTCATTTCGCGTCACATTGGTCATTAAAAATGACGTGACGTAATGACATTTGTGTTTCAACATTACTAAACATGTATGATACAATAACGTGGCTTTCACGAGAGGAGCTTATCACCGCTCGTAATTTATATAAATAGTTACATATTTGGGATTAAAATGAATCTTGAAGAGTTATAATACCATCTTTGATAACCTAAAGAATGATTGATAAAGAGTTGTATTAAAAGCAAATTATCTTTCAAGTACCATGTGCTGATAATTCTTTAAATGAATACTGTCCATACATATACATATGTATGTACAACATATCCTTTCTTGGTATATAAAGTTCATAATTAAGTCAGATTACATTTTTGTTCACACCGATTTTTTTTAGAATATATTCAACGATTTGAATACATAAAGTGTAAGTATGTGTGCAAATAAATTAATTTTTACAGCTTTTTACTTTTCGAAAAATAAACGTTTGTCAGCAATATATTTTCAAAGAACGTTACGATATATTAATGTACATTATGCATAATTTACGGTAAATTTACATGAATATGTATTCTCGTATTGTAGGTTTTATAATTTAGTGTAAATCTACTACAGTATTGTTCCCTTATAGTCGCGGTTTACTATCCTTTTTATAATGCTATCGTCATCTTTCATACATACATACATACATACATACATACATACATACATATCACGGACTCCTCGAGTGGCGTGTTGTGTATGTTGGGAGGGGGAAATAATGTGTTTTTAATATGTATAAATGAAGTTATACAGGGTGTCCCATGTAACCAGAACGAACTACATGTGTAAAATCATTGAGGATGAGACAAAGTTCTCTATCAAAATTTTCATTTTTTCCATTTTTATTCTCTATAAAAAAGTATTAAGGGGGGCAACAGTGAAGAATTTGATGGAAAGCATGATGCTTGAAACAACAATTCTCTCTTAACATGTTATTTGTCGGTGGCTTTTCGTATTTTTATGTTATTTTTGCAATACGGAATCTGTAAGAAAAAGATATATGAAATTATTGGATTGAGTTGCAATATCATGCTTTGTACGTTTAGTTTGTGGAGAGTTACGGGATTATGTTCCAATATTAATAATACAGAAAAGTTTACAATCTATCTTTCAGAGGTGTAATTTGATCAAACAAGTCTTATTAATACAAAAGATACATTTTGTAACTGAAATCGAAAATTTGGTATATTATTTCAAAGAAATAATTTTAACTCTTTCTGGAGCATCATGACATAGGAATGCTCTGTAATAACATGTGTTGTGGTCGGTCTGTTTTTTTCTCAAATAGTTTGCTGACCACGTAGTGTACTGATCCCTATTAATGACCATGTCCCTATTAGTGTATCTTCATATTTAAATAAACCACAGAAAACTTACAAAAATAAATAAACAGTTCAATTTTATGAAAAAATCAAGTATTAAACAATTAAAAGAAGATCTTACTTTGACATTTTTAATTCTTTTGCAACTGAACATGTACAGCAATTTTACTATATCTCATTTTATAGGTATTAAAAATATCTGTGTTTTATTTGACCCTTTTTTTCTGAAATCATATTTTCTTCTTCTGCGCGCAATTAGCACGATTTTCACATACTTTCCAATTTTTCTAACAATGTTCCCCACAACATTTCACGAGTTTTCAACATGTACATTTTATTTCTAATGACCTTCCGAACTATTTTGCATAAAAAAATAGCTAAATACGAAACGCTCTTCGAATAAAAAAAGTATCTTTATTCGTTGAATAAATTCTCATCGAATAAATTTGGCCATTCTTATGAAATGGCTTTTTATGAAATATATGTGTACACCTATAATATCCGTATCAATTATGACAATAAAAGATATATAAATATCATTTCAAACAGCAGATTTGTATACTATTCCATGTTTTTTGTACATGGAATACCCGGATTATATGCTGTGTCATTATTAGAATTTGTTTCTCGGGAATACCATTTCTAGTATTTCGTATGTAATTCCGTTGATTAAAAAAATAAGTATCATTGCAAGTATGAATAGAAAAGGTTTATCGTTGCACACATTAACATAAGTATGTATTGTTTTATTCTCGAATCTCGTTCGGTCGCGCCATTTCTTCCCTACGTTCGGCGAGAGTCGAAATCTCGGCACGAGCCGTAGGCCTTGGTCGTAGGTATGCCATCGTTTTCCTGATGGGCAGAATTGTACATAATGGGGAACATGGGGCAACAACGTAACAAAACAATTGATACGATCCAGCACGTGTTGCGAGGTTACATTTACCGACTTCGTCTGTTTTATTGATGCTCGGTGGCAACATGGCCAAAGTGACTGACAAATACCATAAACGCCTCTAGCGGAGAATCCTTGAACTATACCACTGTTTATTCCCGAGTCTGGACGCGTCGAATCGTCAATACCAACTTCTGCTTTCCAGGAGTGATAACTTGACAAATCTCGGATTTCTACGATAGTGTGATAGTGGTATGCAGGGTGGTCTGGTATACTTTTAACGAGAAAACCATTAAATCGTGAGATATTTGACAAAATGTGACTTGAGCAGCCATCTTGTGTGTTTACATCGGCGCTGTCACAATCGCACACTTTCTAACATTCTAATTCTTTCAACGTATGGTGTTTATTGGTGTTTATACGGACCAGACCACCCCGTAGTGAAGTCTACCCGTGAGTTCTATACCCGTGAAAAGTTCATTTGTGCAATTATTGAGACAGAAGTTGGAATTTACGAAATCGATTGTCTCTCTCGTGCATCGCGTATACATACACGGTTCCCGTTGAATGTGTTTGTGCACGCCAGCGCACGGGCCACGGAGTCTCCCCTCTTAATTTCTCGTTTAAAGTCGAAACATCGCGTTGACGTAGTTAGTCGTCTAGTATAATTTTAATCAGATACCTTCAGACGATAGCGGCAAGCAATGCAAACGGTCTATTAGCGAATTTCTTAAAACCTGTAATTATTTAAGACGATGTTATAGGTTGTCTTACTTACTTTTATCAATTTTTAATATCCCTTTCGTAATTCGAATCGTTTTGGCAAATTTAATACTATGTAATATTAATACCTGGTTGTAATATTCAGCGGTTGGTAGTATTAAGGTATGAAACGTAGGAAAAATTCATGTTTTTACTTCATTCTCAGAATACTTATTACACACATATATTATTTTAAGGTGCTCCGATGCCTTCATAATAATTGAATCAATTTTTATTTATATCCTGTCCTTTTCATATATTGTTAAGCTTTTGCCTACGGCGACTGCAAGTATTTTATGAGTGAAAGTCAGTAGAGGAATTTTTTTTCTTAACTACCTCTTTAGTTTTATCTTTCTTATATTACAGCTATCTTTATTTAATTAGGCATTGTTTGTTTCGTCATTTTACTTTCCAAATACATTCTTTTATCTTATCTTTCTTTGCTTTGCTCTTCCGCTGGTTCATGTGTATATATTTTTTAACCTTATTTTAATTTTTATACAATTTTTTTAAAATTTTGATCATTTCATTTTTACGTTCATTTTTATACTTGAATTCCACTGATATTGTTAAAAGTGTGATCGTATTGCTATTATTTTGTTCTTTGTCTTACTGCTACATCAATTTGTACCCCACCTTTTATTTTTACTCAAATTTTTCTGCTTCATATTCTGAAGCGTTTAAAAATTACTGATATTTTTTGTTACTCTATGAGTTTTGTATTTATATTTATTAATGTTTCTTGAACCGTTATTGCATTTGACGTTTTCTACTAGTCAAGTTGATTATGAATGTCACTCTTTTTACATTTACTTTATCTAATAAATTCATTTAACTTGATCATTCATTACAAATACTGTTCCACCAATTCGAGTAAGTAGTTTTCATCAGAGATGTACATATTGTGTTATACATATAATGTAATTGCTTATCTTAACATCGATTCGCCAATGAAAATGCTATGAGATAGAGAAATTGTAAGAGACATCCCCAGTCTGTGGCTAGCAACAAGCTGCCTAGAACGAAAGTAAGCACGCGAGGATAAATTCTCTATTCATAAATATTAATGTTTTTATATTTTTCTCGTCTTCGAGTTTTTTCTGTTTTTATTAAAACATTACTAAGGAATATGTGAGATTTTCTCATTGAAAAAAAGTAAAGACAAATATTACTTGGTTCAGATTATTTTTAATTACGTACACATCATTTAAGTCACTATTGCGATACAAAAGTTACGATTCGAACCAAAGAAATTAAAAATACTCTGATTTGTCGTGTTTGAACTCGTATTGATTAGTAAAATCTCTTTAATCTTGTGGCAATAATTTGATAAGAATATAATAAAGAATATAAAAATTGAAAATACCATAAACCCTAATAAAATACCATAAACCCACTAAATCGTGATGAAAAAAAGCATACAGTAATTCTTGAATTACTGAAGTATCAATGACTCAGTTTATCTACGTAAAATATAAAAATAACACATACAGTTTATTTCATTTCAAGTGATTGGATACAGTTTAACAAATACCATTTGATTTAATTAGTTCATACTTTATACATAGATGAATTTATCTATTCTGTGTTCACGTACTGTTATAATCAAGTTAAATGTTTCATTCTGTTTCTTTTACGAACAGTGAAACTGACTACATTTAGTATTTATTATAACAAATAATATTTCATCAAATTATGTTAATTAGCGGCATATTCTAGGCAAAAACCGTATCTATGATCATCACAATTCCAAAATTTATATGTTTGTTGCTCGGCAGTTTCAAAACAAATGTCCTCGCACGTTCGTGCAGACGGTGTTCACAGAAAATTTCAGCGGAAGTTAATCAAGATAAAGTCGATCCTATCAGAGTGACAGTGATAAAAGAGGCTTTTATTTGAAAATGATCGTCTGCGATGTACATATATTAGTTGTAAAAGCGCCTCTACCAGTACGAATTAGTATATCTTAGTTCTTTCAGTATCGTATAATGCTAATAAAGGATTTCACCATGTTTTCAAATGCTTATAGACGGTAGACGCAAATATAAGAAGTTCTCACTTATGTAATTCTACACTTCGACTGTCACGTGACCCAGTCCGTATCGGAACTATACAAAATTTTAACAATTTAACACTTCGACTGCCATATAATCTTATGAGATTCAAGAAAGTTCAAAGCACAGATACAACAATAGCTGAAGAAATATATGTTTCAATGTTCCCATTTCATTAAAATCAGTTGCTTTGCTATTGTTAGAATTTCTGTAGCTTTATCTGACTGTCAAATTATTAAAACGGTCTCATGAATATCAGTCCATTAACTGAAGTATTCGATTTAGTATATATTCAGTGTTGCGCTCCGGTTAAAGTTATTTGAATGCCGTACCTACATACCTATTTCGACAATGTTTTTGTACGAGGCGCATCCGTAAAGTAAGATCCGGTCAGCAATTTAAAGATACCTGTGAAAGGACAAAAAAATGTTGAATTATGGCGAACAACACTTACATACATTATATTTCCACATAATCACCATTGATTTCACTTAAATTGATGTATCCTTGTGTCAGCTTTTTTAAAACTTGCATTAAAGAAATCTTCTGCCAGTGATTTCAGTCAATTTATCACTCTTGTTATCAATCCGTCATCATTTTGAAAGCGCCGAGGTCGAGCCATTACTTGAAGGAGATATTCTAGTTTAGACTGTTACGAGCCAGGGCTAAGCAGCTGCGAGAGCCGAGGAAATGGCGAGTTTGGTTTTTTTAGAGTTTGTTACGTGGACGAACCTGTGCCTATTTCATCACAGGGAGCCACTGGGATAGGTTGTCGTGGACAAACCCAAGCCTATTTCATCTCAGGGAGCCACTAGGTTGGTTTAGGCGTCGTGGACGAACCTGTGCCTATTTCATCACAGGGAGCCACTACGACTGTTAGTATGGGCCTCGTAACTTTTAAGAATTCGGTACACTTCGAGCGGTAAAAGTGTGTCTTTGTGGGTTCGCTTTTAGCTGGGAATTTAGATGTTATTCTAGACAATGAGGTACGCCATTATTCCCCGTATCAAAGACCTCATGTTGCCTCAAACCCTCGTTTGCCAGAAATTAATATATTTGTAGAACAAAAAAAAAAGATATTCTAATTTTGATTATTTCATATTAAAATAGACGAAATGAAGATTGTAATATAAGAATAACAATGGGCTTGCCGTTCTTAAATATATATGTATTATAAATTTTTTGTCACATAAAATAAGATCGACGTAGCAGGTGAACTGTTCCACCGACTTTCACAGCTGTAAACAAAAGACGCGTGCTCCCCCACTCATTGTTGCTGGCGACCCAAATGTTATAACCTAATAACTTCCTATTGGTGTATTCGTCACGTGTCTAGCATCTTTCAGTTAGCAGTTAGATACGATATCCTAACTTACCTCGCTACCCCGTCATGC